AGTTTTCAACTTTTGCGTTGACGCTTGCATGAGTTTGATTCCGCCTAAGGACTCTTACCTGCGCTGTAAGAATGATATTTACATTTCACTTGAATCATTATAGGTGTGATTTCTTAAATGTGGTGTGTTGACTTTTTTTGATGGAATCGATTTTTAGAAGCATGCATTTCTGAGTCACTGATTATGAGTGCGATTATACTCCGTCGATACTATTGATGTGGAAATTGAAGAATTCGGGCAGAATGATAATTTATTAGCTAAAATGAATTTTTAACTAACTTTTTGTTGTTTGAAAATCTGTGAGGTCTATGACATCTGAAGTCATTTAAAGGCGGATGATGTAATAATGCATCCTATGATCTTTGCTTCTTACAGGAGAAACCCCACTCTTAGATAATGGCTTCAATCAGTGGCATATTGTTAAGCTTAATTGGCATTTTTGAAATAAAAGCAAGTGGCTTAGCGCAAATATTAGCAGTGTGTAAATGATCGCATCCATACCCGCCCTATTATCTGTTTTACTTACTCATGGACACATACAATATTTATTTGTGTAGTTCAATTAAAGTCGGTCGAAATCGTGTTCATTTGGCTCCAGAAATATCAAAATCTGAGTACCACAGTTATGAAAGTTAGCTGCGGCACATCTCCATCTTCAGCAACCAGGATAACCAATTCTAAGGTCGACTGAACCATGTTCTCAGAGCGTTGTGTATCTATAGTGAGAAGCTTATATGAACCATTTTTCCATTTGCCATATTATATAATCTGTCAAGCGCCGTGAGTGGCTTGTGTGTCCTTGTGTATCAACGGCAATTTAGCTCTTCATAACTTGTAATTTTTCTGAATTACCTACTCAATCAGAAACCGCTTTGTCAAACTTTATGGATGATCAATTGTGATAGTTAATATTCTACAAATCCTTTTGGTGCATACGTTTTAACCCAAAAAAGTTCAGAAATTGAATAATAACTCAACTAAATAAATCATTCAGGCTTGGGAAGAGCATTATATTTCGTTCTGAGTGAACCGCCTTTTTAAAAACGTGTTTGATAAACTACGTATAGTTACCATGTAGTCTCAACTTTGTTAAAGGGTCTGATAGTTAGAATACACAACTGTTTGACTTTTGACTCTTCGAGTAGTATCCGTGTTTCAAATTACTTTCTCATTTAGGGTTACCGGTGGTGCTCAACTGGTAATACAAGCTCTAAGCTCAAACGTTTGGCTTTGGTTTCCACCACATCAAAATATCAAGTTTGGAATCCATTTTTAACCTGAAAAAAAAAGAAATTTTTTAGTGAATTTACTTGATAATTATCTCCAAGAAAACCACATGCATGACATTAAGTCTTAGCTGAACAGCAGAAAAATCATTCTAGCTAACTGGATCATCAGTATACCTATGTAATAGTATCGCTGGTGATCTAAACAATCACCTAACTGTGGAAGCTTGTTGTTCTCGCTGATTCATAGTTTCTGAGTGATAATGTTAGTTCCACTGATTAGAAATTACCTAAGTACGGAAATCCTCTATTGTGCGTATACCTGTTGTTGTTTTCATTGTTATAATATGTTGTGTAATACATGTTGTGATATGCTTGATTTTTATCTGTTCACTATTCAGATGACTGGTTACTAACAGGCTCTCATGACCTTCTGTGTAATCAGCCTAAGTATACGCAAACTCGCATTGGTAAATGAGATTTATAAAAGGAGACTGATGATAAAAAGAGGGTGGGAATTAAATTCTTCTAGCCTCTGTTTAAGAGACTTCTCATATATATTTTTAATCTTAAACGGCCATTCCTGGATAGTTCAAATAAATCGAAAAATTGTATTGATACCTGTAGGAGATAAAAACGACTATCAGACTGAAACCTATTATATTCTAGTTGTTGGCTTTCTTGTCTATCGTCATCTAAATATTGATTAGAAAGGAGAACTGAAATTTCAATTGCTCGCTGTACCTGTAGTTCAGTTGGTGGTGAGATGCTAAAACCTACTTGTGGCTGTATTCTGATGTCGAAAAAAAGACTGACTCAGTAGAAATATATTGCTTTGCAATCAGGCTTCGTCTCTAACCACACACCAATATACAGATTTTACGTTCACATCAAAATATCAACTAAATGGTGGGGTTAAGTAACAATAGTAATAGATTATAATTTAGCCGCGAAAACCACAAGAATTCAAGATGCAGCTCATCAACAAAGTAGTTACACGGGATTTAAAATAGTAATGATATAATAATGTAAGACAGGTTATTCTTTGGCTAATGACATAAAAACTTGTAAAGTGAGAACAGTGTTTTTTCCGAGTGGTCAGCCATGAGCAATAAATAATCAGCTATTCACTCTGATGCCATAAAAGAAAAGTTTGACTCTATCCGTGGTCTTATTAGTAGGAATGGATAGCCAACCGATTTTGTAACAAGCATATGAAAACTGCGAATGCCAGGTCAAAACTGTTAACGGTCCTTAGGGAATGTTAATGAGATCATCTCGCAGCCTATAAGATGTGCTTCCAGCTGCGGAATTATGTCACGTCCTCCACAACCATTCGATTTCTAGGTGAGAAATAATGCTGAACTGCGTGATTCTCAGTTCATTTCCTTCTGTACAACTAATTACTGGGGCGCACGATGCGGCACGTTCATCGTCGAATTTCCTACGACAAATCGGAACGATAAGAAGCTTTATAGCTACAGACGTAGTTGGTATCAAGTGGGTGTTAGTAAAGCATTTAAAATCAATTAACTGCGTGTATTACACATTCGTCTACATCATATGACAGAAGTGATTCCGATCCACCTTCATAAACAACCACTTGCATTACCGTGTCTGTCAACATGATGTTGTCTCTCCTTACTTCCCTTTTGTTCACTATTCTTTTGATACTGGGTGACTTTCAATTGCGAAGTGGAAACTGGGATCTCAGGAGCGCTAGAAACGCACTCTCGGGCTACCGCCTCATACGCCATGAAATGAACCACCATTCATTTGGATTCCCATTATTACATAATTAGTTGTTCGTTATTTCTGGCTGACCACTCAAAAAAACACTGGTAAACCAGTTTTTATGTCATTAGCCAAAGAATAACCTGTCTTACATTATTATATCATTACTATTTTAAATCCCGTGTAACTACTTTGTTGATGAGCTGCATCTTGAATTCTTGTGGTTTTCGCGGCTAAATTATAATCTATTACTATTGTTATTTAACCCCACCACTTAATTCCATTTCAATTCTGTTATTTAGAAAAGTTATACTCAGCTGATCATGCATGATTTTCTAGTTACCAGTAGATGAGAATTAAAGAATCAATAACTTTTTTTGCATCAATATGTGTTTGTTTCACAGTGATCTTCAACGGCTTAGCTAATTACTCTTAAATTTCCCTCCGTATTTGTCTCTGAATGCATTTGACAACGAAAGTCTGATCTTAGAAACGCATTTGCTCAACATTTTGCTTTTTCTTTTTTTCTTTCTTTCTGCATGTGAATGCTCGAATTTCTCCTCGGCTGCTGAATCGATTTTTTTATAACATGACATGACCATCATTATTATGTCGCGCCTTTATCAAACCAGGAGACAGTGATTTAACAGCGATTCCAGGCACGCCAATGCTGGATGCTAAACCTATTTCAGTTCGTCCGAAAACATTGCACATTCCTGAACATCTTACAGCTGGTGAGCAACATAATTTTCAGTATGTCATGAAAACTTGGGTCCAACTAGGATCATATTACATTTCAGATATGTATAAACTGTGTGATATATTTTACTCTAAGCATCAAGAAAAACCCATACCACAGAAACGTAGATCAACCCACAGATTATTTGCATGGAAGATTATCCTGCTTGAGTTCAAAGCACAGTAGCGAAGTAAAGTTGTTGTAAGAGGTATATGAAAGCTGATCGAAATAATTTAATCAAAGAATTCGAATTTCAGGTTAACTATGAGTAGTATGAAGCATTTTATCTACATCAGATAGCCAAGTCATTACTCTGTGCTGAGAATGATTTTCACTTCAGCTCGTTATCGAAAAACACATATGCCAATCTACGCTTATACTGCAAACAGTCACAAACACAACTGTTTCCCCCTGTTTGACAATGTATATCACAGTCAAATTAGTGTCATTTCTGACCAGATGTTCTTGCATACCTGTAGTCTAGAGAATCTTACCAAGAACCGCTGAAAAAGGGATGCAAAACATTTAATTTTTGAGGGAAAACGATCTCATTACCTCATGTGTGTTAGCATGTGAGCTTTGCGAACAAGGTAGAGAAAAATGAAAAACAGTATTATTTATTCAGTTATTCGGTAATTTCAGGTTCATGCATTTCTTGACAACTGAAGAGAAATAACCGCTTTTAGCACACTGTCGACATTCTGTGAGATATCCTTCGCTCGGTTTTTATGTATATAAAAGATTTTCGCATGAATGTGTTTATTTTGACTGAATTTGCTGTGTAAATTACAATGATAGTTTTGGTACTTTTGAAATTTTTCTGGATACCTAGTGTAACCGACCTTTAGGAAATCTCCATCCCCTTTAAACACGCAAGCAATATTGAGACACAATGGGAATCAGATAACTTCACATAATAAGTCTTTCAGGGTAGAAAAGTCTCAGTGGGGCTACATTCCTTAGACTAACTGTAGGGATGAACAGTTATTATAAACCAATATGTTATGTTGGGAGAAGAAGTCTCTAAGGGGTAATTTTCTATGTATCTAACGTGCTTTTTTAGTTTTACGACAGCAACACAGCCGCTAATAATTACCTGCTTCATAATTTTCTTCTCTATCGATTTTGCATTGTTATATAGTGTCAAGAGATAATACCGTTCATTCTAGTCTTCATGATGGCTTGATAGAGGAACGTGTCAAACCAGTTATCAATGAAAAAGTATGTAAAGATATTTTTTTTACATTTATTTGCTATAATTAAATCCAGAGCACAGACAATCGATAGCATTACTATCCATCATAATTAAGTTCATTCATGGAGCCAGCTTCAAAAGACTGCAGAAAACAGAGAGTGAAATGGTGATGTGCTGCTGAAACCCAATGTTTCACTAAGAACCTAAAGGACAAATAATAAATAAACTTTTAGGACTAAACGAGAAACCAAACAATTCCACTCAAGTATTCATAACACCAACGCAGATGAGAGCAAAAAAAGTAAATATTACAGGACTTTCTGCATCCGTTCTCTGTGAGAGTTGTTTACTCGCATTCATTCACCAGTCACTGTATATCTAGAATGTAACTGCATAGCAGATGGATTGGATGCTGGGGCATTTATCCGTCATTAAATGTTATACGATTTAGAACAAATCTATTGGCTATTAATTGGAGTTGTTATCTGAGCTATAGTTCTACTTGATCAACGTTTCACGAGAAAGAGAAATGATTGCTTGTGGACGGTTGACGTTTGTTACCCGGCACACTTCTCCCCTCTAATGTATTAAGTGTGGAAAAAAAGAGACTGGATTTATTTCCTTGAATTAAGTTTACCTCTCTGGTCACAAAACCAATCACCATGAATTTTTGGTCAGTTTGGTTGATATTCCACTTAATTGCAATGAAAAAGTGTGCGGTTCACACCAAAACCAGCCAAACAAAGAAGCCGTTTTGTCAAACTGGTCTTTGCATCAGGTTATTGCAGACTTGAATAAAAGCTGAGACAGCCTTATAATTTAGACAGTACTCATCAGTGATTTCTTACTTAAGCTGCAGAATCTAAATTCAGTTGTCATACGATATTACTGGCCATATCATAACTGAGAAAAAACAACTTCAGTTTCATTTACTAGCCAAGTCCACTTATACTTATTTAATATCTTCACATGCTGCCAAATATCAGTATCAAGTAAATTTTTCTTTTAATCAGTAGTAATTAAGACCCATTTTAACTGACCACTATTATTCATTCCTAGACTGATTGTTTAGTTTCGGTCCATGTTACTCTTTGTCACAGATGGTTTAGTGAATTACTGCACTTCTGTATCTCTGACTTTTAGAAAATAAAAAGACAGAGCAAACTGTTGTTAACACTATCAACGTCTTGGTTGTTACGTAGCATCCTCTCCAATTCGATCTAACACGGACTTTAACAAAGCTGTCAGTAAGTACTTCGTCCAATGTTATGACACTTTTGAGAGGTTGAAACTGGAAATGCAAAATGATTGTCGGATTCCTCAGTTTAAAAGGCAATATGTTTGTATGGTCAAGATACATACCTATTGGACTAGAACAATTGTTTGCTGGAATTTGATTAGTTGAGCCCGGATAAGATAAGTGTATTTATTTAGATTGGCTTAGAAAATCATCTTCACACGTCACATTACATTTGTTTTAAAAAGTAAACGCCATCAGATTAAATCCAAAATAAATTAAAATTTGTAAAGAATTTTATTCAGAAGTGATAATGTTGTGTAGTAAGTGATTCATGGAGTTTGTTTCAAAATGTATTGAGTGTATTTTTTGTTATGATACTTGTAACTTCCCGATGCTATACAGGGCTAAACTGCTCGACCTCTGTTGATAGATTGGCTCCTATGTAGATGTCTTGATACTGCTACTTATTCATGGTGTTACATTGATCTCGGTGAGCAGCAGAGGAATCCAGGACTTGCAGCTAGTCCCATTTGGGACTCGGCTCAGTGGGTAACGCTCTGGCGTTTGAAGTGGTACTGGGTCGATCCACAGTAGAAAGCACATCACTCACTTGGGTGCATGTTCATCCAGCTGATAAATCCTGGGTAGGACGAAACATGTGTCCTGGTAGTCGCCGAGATCAATGTGTATTGAGTGTGATTTATAACTGTGAATGAAGTTTGCAGAAAAATCTAAATCTTAATTAAGTTCTTATTTTGGTAGTAATTCGTGTAAAATTACTGCTGGTGACTGAACCAACAGTTTGAATATTTTATTTCTAATTTACTGAAATAAAAGCTTATCATTGTTTGTAAACTTTTCATTGAAAATGTACTCATAATATATTATTCCAATCAACAATACAGAATCTTTTCGTCGATACATTTAAATCATTGTAGGAATACACTACTAGCCGTAGTGTTAAGGATAATGTAGGTGAGAAACCGATTACTTTGCCTTGGTGGTTCTGACCAACAATAAAGTGGCCTTCAAAAACTGGTACTAACCGAGTAATTGTATGAACATGGGCGAATTTTAAAGTGTATCTCCGTGTTTCCCACGTAACTGTCACCATTTGCTCTGGACTTCGAAACTTTTTACTGAGAGTGGATTTGTTGTTCATGGTAAAGTATGAGAGCGGAGAAACTATTTTATTTCAGCTGTTATTAAGAGACAGAATTTATTTAGTTTCCTATGCTTTTAAGAAGTAGTAGTGTATAGGGATTCTTGTTGTTATCAAATAACTGCAGTAAATTGGCCTTTGAATACTGTGTACGTATTTAATATTTTGTGCATGAGAGAAAATACAAGGATTTTTGACGAAGCTTTCAATCATAGTTAAAAGTTTCAGAAAATATCCTGAGTTCACTTCTTTCATTCCCTGTGTCTATTAAATGCATGGATTCCATCGAGATCTTACCTGATTGACGAAATGAGACATCCGAAACGTAGCAAATCGAAATCAAATTCGGGCTCAGGTCACACAATAGATGTATTGTTTTTTGAAAGCAAAAATGTCGGTTTCCGAAGCATTTCATTGATAGAATGTGGATGTCGAAAACTAATATTTATTGTCTTTATTAATATAGGTGTAGGGATGACTTTATTGGGCATCCTAGCAACAACCGAAATAGTAGTAGTAGTAGTAGTTGAAAATATGTAGGAAATAAATGAAATATGTAGTGGGTAGAAAGCGACAAGGTATAAAACAAGAAGAATTGTTAAGATTTGTGAGCTTCGCTCATGACAGCATAGAAACTAAATGAGGGTGACCAGTTTGAAGCAATTAGTCTCCTTAATGAATTTCAATCAAACAAGAACATGTAACTTGTCTGAATAGCGAGCTGAGTAACATTACAAATAATAATGAATGAATGAGTTGTAAGTTAAAGTCAGTATAGAAACAAGTAGCGTTTGATAATATGTATACTATACTTACTTATAGTTATTATTAGCTACAGCTTAATCAGTTGGGTCAGGTAACTCGATTTGTTTCCAAAGACACTTGAGATTTTGTTATGTGGCCCCTATCTTCAGTGACCCATGAGTCCTTCCGATGTATGTATGACCGACCACACGTACATTTAAATTAATAAATACAGTGGGGCGTGACTTAATCTTCCGCCTTTTCCAAGGGGTTTGATGAGTATATATGCTTCGAATTTTCAATTATCCGAACCTTAGCTGCATAATAGTTTTTATTTACGTCGGAGTTAATTCTCCGTTTGACTATCAAGCTATTGGCATCACTAGTGTATGTTAGCTTGATGAAAACATCTTTCTAAGGGACAGAGTCAACAGTACTTCTCAATGGTCAGCCCACTTTAGGCCGACTTGTTTTATGTTACTTTTGATTTCCTGCAACCAATCAAGTGGGACGTTTCCTCGTTTTATTTGACTCGACAACAAGTGACACGGGGAGTGAGGGTGAAGGGGTAGGAAATAACACTTACAAAAGCTTATTAGCTGTGAACCAAATGTGTTTGTGTGTGCATGAGTATTTATGACGTGCTACTTCACTGCACTCTGATATCATTGGTTGCTTAACGAAGTGTATGAGCCTATATTGAACCTGAATAGTTAGCATTTTGACGCGAGTTTTCTCAGATGACTGCGGAAATTTTGTCACTGGTTCATTGAAAAAAGTATTCACTATAGTTACTGCGGGCCATTCTCAGTTATCAAAAACAAAAAGCATTAGATTTTCGGCAGCGAGTGTCCTCACGCAAATGAAAATCGTTTTTATCTGTAATCAACATGGTATAAAAAAAATAGAACTATAAAAAACCAGTAATGTTGAGATCATATTTGTTGGTTGATAGTAGATACTTTCTCATAACGGGGACTAAGTAACGGTATTTCACTCGACATTAATATTTGCTACTACTTCCCAAACTGGGAAACAGTAGCGATTGCAGATTTAGTTGTCAGTAATGTTTGTTATTTTTTTATTCAAGTATAAAACTGTTACAATATGGAATAAGATCACCAAAATCTTCATAAGGAGCCGTAGATCCCTGAAGAATTTTACCACCAATTTACACCGAATTTTTGAGCGAAACTACATGAACTAACGTCAACATCCGATTTGTTGAACGGCCAAACATCGATACGACTCAAGGCAAGATAGGCCGGGAAATAACCAAAGTCACTGTACATATGTATAAACCCCCATATTTTGTACATTTTTGACGTTGGAGTAAACTTTTCGTTACTTTAGCAAGGTTTCCGTTTATCAAGAAAATGAACGACAATCAAGGGGTGGAATCTGAAGGTTATTGTTCAGGCATCCGCACATATCTATATCTTAAGTTTTATCAAGTAGTTACTACAAAAATATAATGTGACAACAAGGTGATAACAATTACAACAAGGCTATAAAATAACCAAGTAACGGCGGGAAAGAATTTCTTTTTCAATATTTTATACGAAACCTGTACAATCGTATGTAAAATCATAGGAAACAGAATGCAGTCTATTATTAACCACATAAGGACAGGTGATTATTGTTGTTCAGATGTAGTATTAAGGCCAATGAGTGCACTCAATGTTTCTGAGTTTCAGAGATCAGGTTTGAAGATTACGAACTGCCAACACCTCGTCTTTTTTATAAATGATGCAGTCAAAAGCCTCTGGAAATATAGAAAGGTGCTGTGCAAGTAACCACTGATGGAACTAATTGAAGAGGTCAGCTATCTGCAGACGATGGTGTCCAAGGACAGAACTGATGGTATTTTTTTCTTTCTCTTCTTGATAACCGTGCTAAGCAATGTTCCAAAGTAGGCTTACGGAATTGATGCTGTTGTGACCAATATATCTTACCACAGAGGAACAAGTAAATTGACAGATGTGCACTGAAATACCCAAAAGCCATTATTCTGTCTTTAAGTCACTGGTAGATTAATTGTCTAAGGAAAAACTTGATTCTCAAACTAAACGCATGAAACATCTTCCTTAAAGCTTTTGAAGGGTGATTTTTAATGATTTCAACTGCAAATTCTACTTTCCCGAATTCTCCAAATACGTTTAATTGCATTGAGCTTGATTTATATGACAATGAAACTCATTAGAGATTGTTACGAGAATTCAGGCATACGAAAACATTTATATTGGGCTAAAGATTGACTAAGAAAGGTGTTTTGGTTCAAGAATCTCTTCCTGTTTTAATTCTTCATACCATAATATACACGATAATGTGGATTTTTCAGTTTCATATCTTGGGAATCTGAATACAGGAATATATAGAGATTATACTAACAACCAGTGAATTTTTGTATTCTTTACACAGATCCACCAAGTAGTTGCATCACAACAGCTGGCTAAACTACCAGTGACTACGCCTTCACCTGCTGCTCTTTCAGAGTGGGATTTTGATGTCGACAACGTTCAGTCAACAAGAAAGCCAGTTAAATCAGGGTATGTAAATCTCAAACTGCTTCAATGTATTAATTTATCTTTTGATAGGTTCCTCATATCTTTTCTCGTTGATGCTCGTGGTTGTCTAGTTGAAGCTCAGAGGAGACCTGACTTGAGATTTCTTGTACCACCCAATGCACCTACTGGGCCATTGCGCATAATATGCCGTCTACTGCGTCCACAGACTATAAGTAATCCCCCAAGTTTTAATGATGGTGACTGCTTAGCTTGCCGGTAAGTGATAGTTGTTGATGTCATCAGAAGCTATACATAATTTAATACTGAAATACCTTGATTGTGTAAAAACTGGAAAATGTGGATTATTATGAATTTCGTTTTAGTAGTAATGGCAATAAATCAAACGAAAATGTCCTGATTCCTTGGATAACATGTTGGTAAAAAGCACAACATAAACTGTTATGTTTATTTCTCTTACTAGCTGGTAAACATTTTAAAATTCTTGCGCTCAAGTTTATTATAGATAAAGGTTAAATATCTGACTCTCATCTCCCTGTGAATTACGGCCTGAAAACATGGCTCGAATAGAATCTTAAATAAACTTCACTAATCGCTTGATAACAAGATAGTTTGCATTGTTCCTAAATATCCTGTAATATTTATTTGATCCTAGTTGCTATGTCTGACCAGATGCTACTCTGACTAACATCACACCAGCTAACTAAGAAAGAAGATAAAAGTAGATCGCTTGCTATGCAGCATCGAATTGCGCGACATCCACTGGCAGATGGGCACCTGTGTAAACGCTTCGATACTGTTTGATTCATCTCGGTGATTGCCAGTGACCAGTAGTGAATCGTTAATATTTAACACTCTAGGAGTTCTCTTTAAAAGAGGCCTATGTGAAAGGCAATATCATAATCAAATATTGCTGGGATTCCACTCAAAATAATTAGTTATGCGGATAAGTGACTGTATGGTCGAGTTGGAGTCCCAGTAGAAACAACACCATTGACTGAGGTGCAGGTACATCCAGCCGACGGCTTAGTCTCGAACAGGATAAAACGCGCATTTTGGATTCCACTGCTAGTCACCAAGATGAATACAAACCAAAAAGGTCTTGAAATCATGATTAATTTCTATCCTTTTACTTTTTCATAGCAGTTTGTGCATCTTTAGGTTTTCCTGGAATGTTAGGTTTCATTAAGAACTGAAGTCAACTATGTAAAAATAGGAAAACTGGGAGCATCAGAGAGTTTGTTCAAAATTCAGGATTCCTCGGCGATGTTCATCTCAAATCCAAAATAAAATTTCAGTATAGGTTTTACGGTGACGCTGCTGCCATTCATTTACTGGATTGGAATCGACGTCTCACAGTTTCCCTTGTACATGAATCTCTATCAATTTCTGATCATTTGGCCAATTTCGCTTTGATATAACTAGTGAAAAAGACAAGAATATAAATCCATCCCATGGGGAATTTCTAACTGGGACACTAACTTCTAATTCCCGTACATGGGTGATAACTATCATGACAAATGTTCAGATTCTATCGAAGAATTTATCCAACTCAATGGTCTTTACCAAACAAATTCCTAAACTAAGAAAACTACTAATGAGCTGCACACTACTCTGTGTATCATAATAAAACACTAGAATATGTCTCAAAAATGTAAACTTTTGAATATTAGAAAACCAATAATGTGTGAGTTATAGCACCTAGTGACATGAGTGTTCGAAAGTTATATACGCTGCGGGTAAGTTTTCATCCGTTTTCTTTAAACTGTTCCTATCCCTGAGTTCAATTCAACCAAATATAGTGATGTTGGTTCTCCACATAAAATGGTCACTTAATAATGAAATAACCTTGCTTTGTCTGAGAAAGGAGTTTGCGAATAGTTCCTCATTTAGCCATAAGCATAGTTATTTAATAAAGAGAAGAAAAAAGATTATGAAATTTGGTGGTAATCATTACTAGTAAGATTAATTTGGAACTACCCATCCATTCAATACTCATATTTTGGATGCCTATTATAGTTGCAGGGAGTTTATCACGGTTGTAAGAGAATTACATCAGCGACTTCTCATTCAACGTATCTTTTGTCTCAATGGCTGTACGAGTAGTTTGCATTTTATTTGGAAAACCTTAGATAAAGCTAAGTTAAGCATTTCATACAATTCTTTTCTTCGACAAGTCTTAATTCCAGTCACCAACCCTGGTTAACAAATTGTCATAATCGAGCAGAGCCGGTAAGATAAAAAAATTCAGTGTTGACAAGAGCTAATAGGTTGGAGTAGAAAGGTGACAAATGGAAGTCAACAAACTGCTCAAAATAGTTAAATAAATGTTATACCATTCAGATCGAACATCAAAGTTCAAAGTAATCGTAAGTAAAACCGCTGAATCCAAAATAACTTTCAATTGCACATTGAAATCCAGTAATATACAAAGATGCAAAGGACAAAAGTTTTATTCTTTAATGATGAATCACAATCATATTATACGCTCGCTAAAGTTTATTTCCTTTTGGTTGTAGGATTATTGAAATGAATCCTTATCACATGCGTTTCACTTTGCCTATTCTTATTGAAGTGCCTCACATAGCATCAGTTAGAGGAAGAGAACGTGAAATTGTAATCATTCGAAGTGAGACAGGAAACTCATGGAAAGAGCATACACTGGAAGCAACTGAGCAAGCTATCCACGATGCATTAGGTGATGCGTTTGGTAAGCAATTTGCAGCACTTCTTGTAGTAATTATCATGCAAACGTCTTTAGCTAAACACAGCTCTAGAAAAGGATTTATATGACGAACGCACATTAGATGAATACATGTTGGAAAACAGGTAGCAATTGATAGCCATATTTCTCTGGTTTGAGATTCCACAGTTATGATACTTCCTGGGTTCTACCATACAACCCACGAGAATTAAATTCCTACGGATTGGGACATTCTAGGATAAACCCTGCAATGTCATTGGATTCACTCATCAACCACTTCCCAAAATGCTGTTTTATAGTTAACCTCTTTTCAATCCACTGACCGTGGAAAGTTAAATTTTCCGATATTTTTAACGAAAGGTGTCATCGTAAGAGCCATCTGTACATAAAATAAGTTGGATTGTACATCAACAGTGTTGAAAATATTCACTAGTTTCTGAAAAGAAGCCCTTGAAATTTCATTCCTTAGTTTATCAATTTGTTATCGTTCCGCTGCTATGACCTTCAGCCTACATATTTTTCATGAGATTTAAATATAAGCAAACAACTTAGCTCCTGAATATAGCATTCTTCAAAAGCGAATTAAATACTAGTCCAGTGGTGACAATTAATAGCTCGGCGGGTGATTTTCTACCTGCTACAAGTTCCAATCTAATAAATAAAGAGTGCAAAAAATAAAACAAAGAAAAACTCCAATTAGTCAGTGAAAAGGCAATAACTTAGGTGCGTACGAAACATTAGCATTCAACCAGAAAAATGAATTCCTCCAATCAAATTACCTGAGAGCTGAAAGATATGCGTGGCCAGTTTAACAAAATAGGAGGTGCGTCCCGTCATAATATCCGTTGTTGTGTTGGATCGAATTGTTCGATGTCTATTGGCATATGGGCTCGTATGCGGATGCCTCGATATTGCCTGAATGTTAATTATGATAATTTGGTTGGTTGTGGCTAGCAGAAGAATCCAGGAGGGGCGTCTCGTCCTATTTGTGACTCGTCAGCTGGATGTACCTGCACCCCAGTCATGTTGTTCCCACTCAGACTTGAACCTCGTACCCATCGCTTCAAGCGCCTTGGGATTGTTCACTCTGCCTTCTGAAGTCGATTTTTTTTTATTTCCTATTGTTTTTTACTTTCCTGGATGTTACTTCTGTTTTGCTTTTCTTGTTTCCTGCAATTTTTAGTCGGTTTTTCTTATGCTTTGTTTAATGTTTCTTTTTCTGCCATGCAATTTTTCATTTTCTTTGCTTCCTTTTTTAGCTGTTCACATATTTCCTATTCACACTTTTCTCCTCCCCGGTTAATTATTCTCTCTTTCGTACCTCGTTAAATGTAATAGATTATTTACCAATTAGCACCACTTGTCTGGTGTGTCATTTTGTATTTTGAAACTACCATGTACTATTTTACTGCCATGAATTAGAAGCTGATTAGAGTAAATATTTTGTCGCTGAAAATGCTTTTTCTAAATTTCTAAATGGGAGTCTTAGCACTGTTCACATATAAGCCATTCAGTGTTGTTATCAAACCTGCCAACTTTGAACTCGTTCAATTTAAAGGACCGGTTTCATCCAGTACCGTACCATTTCTCTGGACAGCAGTTACGTTGTACACACTGCCCACTGGGACCAATGTCTCAGCATTACCAAAAACTATTTAACTTTCTTTTTTGGTACGATTTAGCTCATGCATTGAGATCAACTGACTTCTTTTCTGTGTTTAAAAGACCTCATGACATTTAGCTTATACCTCAAGTAGTGAAATTACTGTATTATGGCTATTAACAGTCTTCTTTATTTTATTTTGGAATTTTAGATCTCTCTGACTTGAACAGCTCAGTTCTCACGAAGCGTGTCCATCGAATTTTGACCTATGACTTTCCTCAATATTTCGCTTTACTTTCAAGATTTCGTCAGGAAGTAGCTTACATAGGTTCAGATGGTGGACTGATTAGTTCAACTGTGGTACCACAAGTTCAAGCAGTATTTCCACCTGGATCACTACAGAAAAGGATTAAAGTTGGCCTGCAAGTATGCACCTAATGTAACCTTATATATTATTACTACATATTTAACACCAGTTAGTATTAATAAAAAGTCTGAACAAAGAATATTCATTTCAATAAATTCTTATCAGCTTCTAAAAATATAATATGCGATTGCATGGCGTCAAAGTAAACGAAGTTGGAGGCTAATACGTTTTCCTAACGGAATAAGATTTAAGGATTGTAAATAATTCGATATTTTTTTAGATTTGTCAATATTAAGATGACATATATTCACATGAAGAATGTGTTGGTGAACGAAAAGACTACGAATTAAGAAGACACAAGTGCCCTTTGATTTATTGGAACCTAAGGGAAAAATAACTTTTGAACATGATCTTTCTGAATACAAAGTTCAGGTTAGACGAATCTTATTGCAACATCCTCAGCTGTTGAGCGGACGTTGGTGAGCTGTATGTGGCATTACTTTTGGTACAAGATGTATGACACTGAAAGCTTTATTATCATCTGTGATGCCGTGTATTTATTAAGTGCGCTAAGACATAACTTTTTACCACTTTCATCACCTTTTCCCGAATTAAACCAGTAAATGCTCTTCTATCTAAAGATGCACTTGCTTAATCGTAAGCCTTATGTAACTTGTTCCACACTAACAGTGATTTTGACATGTCCAAGGTGAAGGACTAAATTAGGTAGGCTATCCTTTAGTTCCGGATTGAGCATTGACCGACCATCGAAAGATAAACGAAGACTACCTTAGATTAACTACTCTAGCTAGACACTGTGATGGGATGTCGCTTCGAGCATCTTCTTTGAATTGCATTTGCAGAAAAGAAGGCTTGTTCTCCACCTTCATCAATTCTCATTCAGGATTACTGTAAGCGATTTTAATTTTGATAAGCTTTTCAGGATATCCGTTCTCACTTATAACATCATGGATATTGGTAGTCCACAAACTCCTTGGAACAAATCTATCCTACTTTAAATGCTAGGCACCTGATTATATTACGTTTGTACTTCATCGGCATGAAGCTGAGAAAGCATGTACACTGTACCTTAGACGTTAGTTTTTATATCCACTTCTCAGTATATAGCCATCTTCTTTTCTTCTTTTTATGTTGTAAGTCGCATTTCATAATTGCAGGATGTAATTAGAACTTATTAAAAAGAATATTCTTCGTTCAAATAACTTTTACAATGTCACGGAAATCTTAAAATGTTTAAAAAAAGTTTGATATGATACCTTATCGCGGAATACATACAATTATTATCAGGTCTCCAAAGAATAATGCTTTTGTCTTTTAGGCCCAACCTGTTCCTGCTGATGTCGTAAATCGATTAACGGTAGGCCGCGTTTCCGTATCTGCTGTCGTAAGCATTGAACCAAGGCGACGCAAGTTTCACAAACCTATCACACTGACAATGCCAGTTCCATGTTCTCTGACCAAAGTAAATTCAGATGCGATAGGCACTACCTCTAAGATTCGACTTCTGTGTAGTCTGTCTGGTGGAGAAAACCCACCAGTATGGGAGGATATAACTGGCTCAACACCGATGACAATTCATAAAGACTGTGTTTCCTTTACTACAACAGTTTCAGCGAGGTAAGTTAGTTTTCTCTTTCCATGATACTAATAAAATTCTCCAGATATATATGTATCCATTCATGTAAAAGAAAAGCACTCCATTGCATTACGGAGAACTGCATTCGATGTACAGTTGCTTGGCCTTGCATATTGTGGCTTCTGAACAGAAGTTACAACGTGTTTCTGTAGACATAAGTCTAAAACCTAAGCACTTCGACACAGTGTAATTCCATGCCAGATTTGTTTATCTGATATGGAATGCAGTGATATAGTACTATTCGCTTGATGACATTTTGAACATAAATTATTGCTCACAATCATTTCAAGGTAACCACACAACTTTCGATATCTGATTTTTACGGTTCTAACACGTCATATTCTTTTTTGTTGGGAGTAAAATTATTCTTATTACGTGTGTCGGATGTTGATTCGATTATCAGAGACTTGGTAATCAGTCTCCTTCTTTCTCCACCTAACTGTATTAGATTTTGGTACAGTGGTTTTATTCCACTCTAGTGTGTCATTGCATGCATTGCAATAACCGATTGTTCTCCAAGATTATTGAACCTGTTGTGGTCCGTTATTTTGTATTTGGCTTAATTTCTATGTTCTCCTAATCTAACTGACCTCGGACGGCCAGTTTGACCTAGGTACTTCATCTCTTAGTCATTGTATGGAATTTGGTAGATTGGATGATTTTGCTTAATTGGATCTATAGGATCCTTGGGCCGACAAAGCTTTTCTCCAGGTGAGTTTGTAGCTTTAAATGCTACTCTTATTCCAACCTTGTTGAGAATCCTAGGTAAAATTTCTGATGTTTATTCCTTATAGGGTAACACAATAGAGGCATTGAAATCCTTTCTACTCATGGTGTTGCTATTATTCCTATTTGCGTTACTGTTATTATTTTGTTTCTTATATGTTCGTACGAATTTTTTAATGAACAGTAGAGGATAATTAATAATCAGTAACACTTCTTTTAAGTGTTTCATTTCCTTGTTTAAATCCTTGTACTGACTAGCAAGTTTGCAAGCTCTATTATCTAAAAATATAAATTAAATCGCCTCAATTGGCATTGAATGAGATGATCTGAAGTCTAGATACCTATCAGAATATGTCGGTTTCCTGTAGACGTTAGTATCTAAACTACTGTATGTCCTTCGTTTTACTCGGAAATCCAACATAGCTAGTTCTTCCTCTTCATTTTCTACGATGTAAGTGAATTGGATTGCACCAACTACGGCGTTTCTGCGTGGGGAAACTGTCGATATGTTCTGATTTCGACACAGTGAATGTGTCATCCACATATTGCTAAAATATAGAATGACAGAACCCAATGAGAATAATAATCTAGAAAAAATCTCTGCTATCGTAATGTATGTATTAACAAACAACCACACAATAGGGTGGGGTGAAACCACTCATCTCAAGTCAAATGTAATTGGGTGGTTGACGTTTAATCCCACTACTACTAATCCCACCTAACTTATTTAGGGTAGATTAAAGAAACTGGAAACGAAAAATGATTGGTTGATTCCTCTGTTTAAAAGACAATGTGTTTATGTAGCCAATACACTTTTACTTGGCAACGTCAGGTTTGTTTTAAGACTACTGTTTATCCCCAATATGTTTTATAGAATATCCTTGAAATGTTGTTGTCTGGCTTTCGGGCTTGCCAAGGTTTCTGGACAGTAAGTCGGCGGTTGTTGACTTGCAATCATCCCTACAATTCTCTGCTTCATGACAATAGTTCTTGGGCCAAGAAGTTGATGGGAGTTGAATTGGACAGCATAAGTCCATTGTCAATATCTGGCACGCTGTATTTAATGTTGTTCATTTCGTTTATGCACACTATAGTAAATGACTGAATAATCGAGATGTGTTCAGTATACGTTATCACCTCTTCACTTAGTGTAATTTGACCGGTAATTGAATTTTCTCATGAAACCATTTTGTTGTAGCCAGTCATGAAAAATTTCAGGAGCATATAATCAGTCAATGTGTATCGGGATTCTTATCTGTCACAGAGGATGGTGATCTGAAATACTTTTTCTCGCCACTGCCAACCAGCTGAAATTTGCTGACAGTTGTCTTGATCCTTTTGTTCTCGACATCACCTATAAGGGGAGTAATGAGAATTACCAAAAGTGAGTAATTAGTTTTCAACCGGCGATATCCCTAAAATAACAGCTAGTGGTCTATTCCTGCAAGGATTTAAATATACCGATGAAAAGTCTGTTTATTGTGGAATGGATTGATTTAAGTCAATTTTCATTTGAAAGTTTTCACACAATGATGAACTTTCATTTTCTCAATAAATCGAGCAAACTATTAAAACATGCCAATTGTCGGGCAGTATTTGTGCTCGAAATATTACGAAAGCAGTTCATGATTGTGAGTAACCTTTTCATTGAAATGTAATTGTAGTACAGTTAAGATTTAGATTTTCGGAAAACCTCCTTTATAGTTACAGATTATACATCATACATTTTGAAACACGCTTCCTGAAATATTATACAACCTTTTCACTGCAGAATGAAAGTCTCTACAATTTCTACGTTAATTTTGGAATTAATCTTACCTGGATGGCGATTTCATGTGATAAACTATCGTGATTTTCTAAGCCAATCTAAACACACACAGCTAATATGGACTCAACTAGTCAGATTGCCAAAAATCATTGTTCTAGCAAAGTAGAAGTGTATTGGCTACATAAACACATTGTCTTTTAAACAGAGGAATCAACCAATCATTTTCGTTTCCAGTTTCTTTAATCTACCCTAAATAAGTTAGGTGGGATTAGTAGTAGTGGGATTAAACGTCAACCACCCAATTACATTTGACTTGAGATGAGTGGTTTCACCCCACCCTATTGTGTGGTTGTTTGTTAATACATACATTACGATAGCAGAGATTTTTTCTAGATTATTATTCTCATTGGGTTCTGTCATTCTATATTTTAGCAATATGTGGATGACACATTCACTGTGTCGAAATCAGAACATATCGACAGTTTCCCCACGCAGAAACGCCGTAGTTGGTGCAATCCAATTCACTTACATCGTAGAAAATGAAGAGGAAGAACTAGCTATGTTGGATTTCCGAGTAAAACGAAGGACATACAGTAGTTTAGATACTAACGTCTACAGGAAACCGACATATTCTGATAGGTATCTAGACTTCAGATCATCTCATTCAATGCCAATTGAGGCGATTTAATTTATATTTTAGATAATAGAGCTTGCAAACTTGCTAGTCAGTACAAGGATTTAAACAAGGAAATGAAACACTTAAAAGAAGTGTTACTGATTATTAATTATCCTCTACTGTTCATTAAAAAATTCGTACGAACATATAAGAAACAAAATAATAACAGTAACGCAAATAGGAATAATAGCAACACCATGAGTAGAAAGGATTTCAATGCCTCTATTGTGTTACCCTATAAGGAATAAACATCAGAAATTTTACCTAGGATTCTCAACAAGGTTGGAATAAGAGTAGCATTTAAAGCTACAAACTCACCTGGAGAAAAGCTTTGTCGGCCCAAGGATCCTGTAGATCCAATTAAGCAAAATCATCCAATCTACCAAATTCCATACAATGACTAAGAGATGAAGTACCTAGGTCAAACTGGCCGTCCGAGGTCAGTTAGATTAGGAGAACATAGAAATTAAGCCAAATACAAAATAACGGACCACAACAGGTTCAATAATCTTGGAGAACAATCGGTTATTGCAATGCATGCAATGACACACTAGAGTGGAATAAAACCACTGTACCAAAATCTAATACAGTTAGGTGGAGAAAGAAGGAGACTGATTACCAAGTCTCTGATAATCGAATCAACATCCGACACACGTAATAAGAATAATTTTACTCCCAACAAAAAAAATATGACGTGTTAGAACCGTAAAAATCAGATATCGAAAGTTGTGTGGTTACCTTGAAATGATTGTGAGCAATAATTTATGTTCAAAATGTCATCAAGCGAATAGTACTATATCACTGCATGCCATATGAAATAAAAAAATTCCTTGTGTATCTCCGATGGTTAGTTATCTAGTAACGTCGGTAAACCGTTTCGTCTAGACATATCGCGAAATAATAAGCATTCAGAAGCTTTCATCATCTCGCTAACATGATAGAAAAAGCTTTTCCGGTTGGCTGGATAAACCTAGAACATTAACTTTAACAAAAAACCAGTGTGATATATACAAAGAAAGAAAACGAAACTAATGGCCATAAATGGCACCACTGCACATCATTCCAGATAGAATCCAAACAAGTAAATGGCACGGAATGGTATTTCCTTGAAGAAGCTGGGACCAGACTTGTGTGCAAAAGGTTAGAATTACTTTATTTCAAACACACTGTGACCTACACTAATACAAACTACATCTAGTATTTATAGTAGATACAGAAAAACGAAATAATCGCCGTAATTCTGATCCCATTTTACAGTGTTGCAGATAATAGCTCAGTGTATCTTCGTTGCCTTAGTATAACTAAACTTCTGGCTGTAGATCACTGGATACGAAAAGAGAAATCTCACTTGAGATCAGGTTCGCAGTGACAATGAAGTTTGGCTTCCTAAACAATGGGAAGAGACAATAGAATTGAAATGAAGATATAAGATACAGCGGCTCAATAAAAGGGACGTGTTAGAAAAAGTGAAAAAAATTACACGGGGAACTCAGACAGTTACACTTAAATGAGCTACTCCACGTGTTGTAACAAAGTCTTGCTGAGACAACTGTGCTACTGTTTTGTGACTACTTTTATAAGCTTCCTATCCCTTAGCTTAACCCATTAGAAGTCACAGCCAGTGAGGTATACTGCAAGGTATACCGTTAAATTTCATTCTTGAGTTTCCTTGTTCTTTTTGAAGATATTGTGCCACCCTAAAAGCCACTGAAATAACCCATTAAGTTTCTTACTTTCACTTGAAAGATCAGTTTTGCATCAAACAACTTAATTGATTATTTCACAATCATCGTCAGGGTGACCTCCTATGTCAATGAAAGACACTACTAGAGTTGTCAACGGCTCGTCTTGTATGTGGTTGATTCATGAGTGCATGAAATCACAGTAAAACCAAGTTATTTAAACTTTGACACAATGAGGTCATGATAACGTGAAATCGGGTATGTAGGGTTGGTAGTTATAGTTCAAATCACCTGGTCAAATTTAAGATATTTATTGGGCTTCACATTAAAGACTACTTCTCTATTAGCAAGACAAAAGAGAATGCTAGATAAGACCATGGTAACTTCTTGCATCTGCTTTTTGTTGTTGTCTGTTGTCTGAATGAATTTCAGTCCTCTAAATTAGTTTTCAAATCAGAAATGACTTTTCCTCAGTAAGGTTTGATTCTCTGAAATGATGGAGTACTACCAAATGCATGTTCAGTTAGGAGTTTTTACTAAGATGAAGCTCTAGTCACCATCTTCAGTATCGACTTAAAATATACCTAGGTACTTTGAATTACCCGGTAAATGAAAAGTCACACAAGTGCAGAAAATTACACGCATTATTATCGTCTTTCAAAAATCATTCCAATGCAGACTATTACTTCAGGCCTCATATTATCACTGTGGCTTCAGCCTGAAAATACAGAAGCTATAGAAATTGCGGAAAGAAAGCAATAGCCTTACATTTTATAACCCCGAATATTATACAGTGTCGTTGAGTTAAGATTCTATAGAATTTAAGTCTAATGACAAAGAATAACCTTATAATATTAAACTTCAGGTTGGTATTCATCATGGTCTGAAATTAGACCATGGGTCATGAGTGCGCACCGCTGAGGAGTCCCACACTAGAATGAAATGGCTGTCCAGTGCTCCCAAGTTTTCAATGTCTGTCCAAATGATATCAGTCTATGATGAATACCAACCTACAATCAATAAATCCTCACAAACTCCCAAATTAAAATTCATTTTATATCGAGTATCTTTTTCAGGAATTCAGTGATTAATTGACAAAAACTTAGGCTTCCAGTTTGTTCACTCCATCATTTCATAACAGTTTAGTGAGACGTTTAAATTCATTACAGTACTTTAATGAAATTTCTTCTCTATAGCAGTGTACATAGTTGTACTTTTGGAACTAGCATTTTAGATATATTGTAATATAATTCTAATGAGTTAAAATCAGTTCCTGGATAAGCAGTTACAAAATGTGTTGACAGATTTTATATTTCTATATCAACAAGTTTCATGCTGCCGTTTGAATTAAAAAAGGATCTCCGATTCTTTTTTAAAATAATCACAATTATCATATTCATGAAATGGAAAAAATGATAAATATGTGGGTCTTGTCCAATTCTTTTCTTTAAGAAAGGTTAACTGCATAACACTGACCAATAAATTATATATATATATATATATATATATATATATATATATATATATATATATATATATATATACTTCTTAGCCTTTGGAAAACACATGTACATCTGTATTTAATGTATGTTAGTTAATCTGCTGTACCACAAATCGGTCTGAGCTCATATGTTTATCTGATAATTACAAATACTTTTAGTCAAAATAATAGATCCTGTGAAAGCTGCCAATCGTGATTGCAGAATAATGATATCAGATCAAAAATGTGTTTCATCATCTCCATTACTTTTTATCATCTTTCTTCTTAGTAATGTGGATAAGATTTAAATACTAAGATATTTGCAACAGTTAACTTAAAAGTTTCTTCATTCAGTAAGGTATATGTGGTGTATTAATTGCTAACGGGACTTATCAAGGAATATCTAGTAGGACTATTGAGTTAGATCTTTTGATCAACTAGCATATGTAATATGCATGGTTGCGAAATGCAAGTTGTACCGTGCCACATGCTGACTGAGACTAGAAAGGTAAGTCTCCAACCTAGTTGTGCATGAGGTGATATACCCACTACGGCAAATAATGCTGATTGAACGATGTGTTTGTTATATTCCTGGCTTTTCAAGTTTGATTGATTTCAGGTCAAAACTACCTCCAAAATTTGTTAACATATTTCAGAAAAGTGTAACTGTCTCAACTTAGTTTTCATCCTCTGCAATATTCTTACCCAGGTATCTGTTATCTACATATCAAGAAAAAAGTTTTGCATTGAAATGAAGTTTGATTTAAGTGTAGATTAAAAAACTTTCCTGAGTAACGAATATATATTTATATTCATTTATTTGATTTGCCATCAGATTATGGTTGATTGACTGTCCAGCTGGTATGCCAGTAACGGATCTCGCAACTCGAATTTACAATGAAAGTACTGAGCCCCAATCTTGGGCAGATTCATCGTCTATGCGCGCCAGTCGACTGATTTAGATACGGCAATGCAACCTGGAACACCAGAGATTCAGTCAAGACATTCTTCTAATGTACAAGACCTGAGTAGAAACATCTCACGTATTAGGCGTTCAGCAACCGAATTTGCTCAGATTAGATGTTTGTGTCTAACGGATGATACTGAAGATAAAACTTTGGAATGTTTGGAAAATTACTATCAAATCGCAACTGGACCATTTGTAGAGGTATATGATTTTTACACTAGTGATAACGTTTGTATTACTATTTGCTTAAAAATGTATCAGTTTAATGTGAAACACCTTTTTATATATATATGCAGGGCATATAAACATCCGTCAGGCTCGTTCTCCTTCTGAGATTAAAAGGTGACTTCCTCGATATTTTACTTTGCTAGTCGGTTCAACATTCAGAAAAAAATCTTGTTAAGATGGATAGATGGTAGTGTTATGCTCAGTATATTTCGTAATAAGTCAGTGGACCGGTCACTATTCGCATTATCCAACGTTTGTTCCCTTAGCATGCAAATCAGTCTAGTCTGTACACCGATCTCCCTATCCTGAAAAGCTTGCACAGCTGACACTTTCAACGATGAAATAAGAATGACAGAGGGCTGCCTGTGGGGGAATGTTTGACCTGAGAAGTTCCTGGTACTGTGAAAGCAGTTAGAGACAAGGGGTTTCAGGTGATACCAAATCAATAATTATATCTAGCTTTGGAAAAGATGCAGCTACAAGAAATGCTGACACTAAAACTCAGAAAACTGGTTGACAGACCTTCCATGCTGCAACACTATATTGAAGACTATTACTTGCTATATAATGCCAATGCAATCTAGGTATAGCTACCAACTTTGGTCCCATCTATGTGTAATTAGGTAGATATAGTGTAGATATAGTTATGTAGGTAAGCCCATCATCACTTCAATGAACACTATCCAGTGTGGTTGGGCGAAGAAACAGTAAAATCCATCAAAAGCATAATACTCGCCAATCTAGTGAATACCGGGTATAAGACTGATGAAATCTTAACCTTCGCCAGTATATACAAAGTGACATCGCAATACTCTAGGTTTACGCACTTGCACTTACAAAGTATAGCAAACTTCATACCAATTAAAAATTTGAAACCTAATTTATTTGCGCAGTAGATGCTTATTCAATTTCTTTCCTTCCTATGGTCATCACCTTTAACTTCCCAGTCACCAGCAAAAAATATAAATATCTTTGTACTCACATCATTATCATTGTTGTTATACTCCACCTTCATTTTAATCCGCTATTATGCCATTAGTTTCACAATTGATTAAGAATTTAAATATTTTACTACTTAATTGCTATGAAACAATAATTTGTTCACCTCTGCCCTACACAGACACCATTTATTCACACATCGATAATGACTGACTGCTAAGATAATGTAAGCTCTTGCAAAATTTTGTTAGCGTTATTATCGCTTCTAAAACAAATGGCCTAAAATGATTCGATAAGTGACAAACATCTGTCAACATCTGTTGCCAAATATGTCAGATATTAAAACAGCATTGCAGTTTTTGCACTAACATAGCCATCAATTGCTAAAATTTACAGAAGGTTTAACGATCTATTGATTTAAATTATTTTGTGTTCAAGAGCAGTCTGGAACCACTTTGAGACTACTTTGGTAGCATTGATTATAATTTTCATGCCAAGCGGGATGACTCAGACTTTGTCTTTGTTCTGCCTTTCCTATTCAAATATTCCCAACTGATTAAAATGATCTGTATAATTTGCTTGACGTTGGCCATGAGTGGAATCCATGATATGCGTTTTGTCCTATTTAGTGGCATATGCATTTTTAGACATGACGCGTCTATAACTGATTAGATCGTTTAAAATATGCAAACTAATAAATAAAGTGTTCCAACTAATCTTTTTCTTCTCATAACGGTGTATCAATTCATGACCCCTACTAATTGCCTTAATTTTATTGTGATCCAGACTTCCTTCACCTCTGATCCTAGCCAGGCGGCAGACAGTCCCACCTTTTGGGCCCGCTTAGACAATGGCACTGAAAAATTACGAACTCGCTGGTCAATAATTTGCCTTGTCTAAGTAGAACGTCACTATTATAATCCCACTGGTGATAGGAACATCAGCTTCGGACTCATGTAGCATTGGGACACTCGTTTGCTCATAGCTTGACATAACCCACCTACCAATCCGCAAACAAGTTAGTCATGTGCCTTGTTTGTTTCAGCGTCTTAGACCTTGACTGTCAGTCAGATACTTTTGTGAAAGAATCTTCATAACGATCAAATTCTCAGCAGCCAAGTATTTAGCTTTAGGATTTCTTGTTCAGCGCCCGAATGCCAGTCTATATAAAATATGTGACGAGAAAACCCTCGGTGCCCTTAATTTATGCACTTGGATTCTACTAACGACAATAGCATCAGAGGATTATGTTATAGTGCAAAGTCTGGTGACAATTTACTGAAAATACCTAATTGCTCAATCTGTATTTTCCAGACGAAAAGTGGATAGGACTTTAAGCCAGGGATGAAAATCATGTCATCTATTGGAATTCTGTTGACATACTAACGTTCAGTTTGAATAGATGGAAAGAAAGACTAATAAATGAGTTCATGTCTTAAACGTCACACTAAATACATGCAACAAAGGTGACTGAGATCGTTTCCCAACCACATGAGACATCGTACTAGATAAAAAACTAATTTGCGAAAATAAAAGCGGTATATATGTATTTTATATCCTTCAGGATCGAAGCTTGACCCGATATAGCTGAATAAACTGAGCATCGAGCAAATCCCAATATGGTAGAAAAGTTAATTTCTAAAATCCACATCATTGTGTGCAAACATGCATGTTAAATTTATATCTAAACACAGAATGCGTTTTAAACAAAAATGCTGATCTACGTAACGGTTTCAGCTTGAAGGGCAACAGTTGTTCAAATAGAATTCGATCAATCATCTTTGGCTGCCGTTTCTCGATTCGACGAGACTGGTACGTCTGTCACTTCTACAACAGCGAACGCCAAACATGTACACAGTGGTTGTGTTCAAGTGTTGCATGCATGAAACATTCTGATTGACTTGGATTAATAGTCTTGTCAACGGATTTCCACAATCACTTGGTCTCAAAAGCCAACAATAACAATGTTGTCTCAGTACTTCGCACTATCTTTAGAATACATAGTCAAACAGAAAATCCCGACATGTTTTTTACAATTGAAGACTAAATGTCTTCCCATTACCAAATCTGGTTTACAATATTTAACAGCGATCAGCCTTTATTAACTGTGCTCATGTTTCTTCAGGAGCCGGTTTAGCAGGACTCATCTATACCAAGGCAAAGGAATGAGTCAAAGTACCCAAAACCCTTATTTAATGTAGTTATACTAAGCAAACAACCGGTGATTTTACATTTGACAAGTCCACAGCCTTTTGGTCACAACACTTTATCAAATTCAAGTTATGTAAGTTTCTTCATCCTAAAGAATAATGATGTCTTGGTACTAAAAAAAGACCGACAGATCCCCATTTTCTACTTATATATCTGAAAAGTTAGTGAAGAAACTAACCCAGGAAGGACGTTTACACATAGGCTGGTTATAAATGAATTGATAAATATCTCTAATAAATGGAACCTCACCATTTTCATCTGAGGTGCTATGTTATGGAAAAATATATAACTAGTCTAGAAGGATGAAGGTTCACTCTTACGACTGGACCAACATTTAAATCAGTGTAAGGAAGGAAATTTCGCAGATAACTTATTATATTATAATCTACTTTCTGGTGGGCAACAATGTGACTGAGGACACACGTTCCATTGAAGTAAATTGTAACACAATGAACATTCGGCCAACATACAGGGATCCTCATGGCGGCCCATATCACGACAGAAGTCGGTCAGTTCGATCCAATATAACAACGGGGAATTGCAGGCATCAATAAATAATCCTAATATGTTGTTAAAAATACTCACAAACATCCACTGATTCACATACATCAGTATTTCTTCCTCTTTTTGAAATTAATGAGAAAGTATCACTTCCTTTTCAGTCTATAGCTGGTTGATAAGATAGTTGATAAGTGCTAATGATCTCCACCTCTTCACAAAGTCCTACGAATCTATTCCTTTTGATTACACTTTTAAAAACCACCTCTTTCCTGAGAGCAGCCTCTTTCAAAAGTTAGACTTCGTGATCAATATTACACATCTTTTATGTCTTCACTACTGGTGTTTGCAGTTATTTCTTAGATCGTTGGTCATTCTGTGTCTTGTCTGTTTTAGCTTCTAATCATGTTCGGAGTTTATGATAATCGGTCTTCTACCTTTAAATGTGAGCAAGATTTTGGAGATAATTTAGTAGTTGCTAGTTTCTTATTGTATGGGTACTTGTACCTCTTCTTTCATGTGATAGTGGGTTGCCTAGCAGGACATGTTAAGACTAATTTCTCTCATGATACAGCAGCTTTGAAGTCAATTTCTTACGTAGCTGACAAATGAAGAAGCGCTTACGAGGTGTTCTCTTTGTTCAGCAACACAAACAGGAGTCCGAGCATATTCTCTAAAAAAAGAATTGATACCCAACTAGTCCTTCTTATCAGAGATTCATAGTTTAAAGTTTCATCTGTTGATACAAAGTATATGCGAAACATCCAAGAGATTTACAAGGAATATAAATAAATAAACGGACCAGCTCCTGACCTACCAACTCAGAAGTACCACTTAGATATCGTTTACTTAACTAAACTGTCTTACTTTTACTCTTTAAGATCCGGTTACAACAGTTGCATTCGTAACTCTGACAGGGTGAAACGGATTTGGTGATTAAGTTAGCAGTGTAAGTATTTAAAATCCACAAGCTTCATTATCGAGATTAAAGTGCCATAAATACCTGCAGTTTGTCTCTGTCATTTGTGGCCAATATTAATCAGTGGTTTACAGGAATAAATTCCCCTCAAAAAATTAAGTTGCTTGAAACACACCAACCTATCCAACTGGTTTTCATAGGAAAGCATTCGTTGCTTAATTTGAACTTCAGCCGTCGGGTTGACGTAAGATATCAATGATAATATTACATTTATTAGTCACTTTGCGTTCATACCGAAAATTCGATCAGACGGTGTTATGATAACTGCCATGAAATCAATCTTGTTCACTGAAATGAGTAACCACACCTTTGATTTCATTTACCATCTCAAGAAAAACCAGTTAAGCCACGATCGTAGTTAAACTTTCGAATGACAAGACCTACTACCATATTAGACAGACAGTCTAGTCATGGCGATTATCAATATTCAGCTATTTACGTAATTTGAATATACATGTACGCTGTTTTGTGCATGCGGGCTGTCTATGCCCATTGCATGCGTGAAGGCAGGTAGGAGAACAACTGAAGTTTACCCAGTGTAACTGATTGATGACCATCTATGGACGTGCGCTGGTGATCAATAATTCATGACTGCCTTCCTCAATTCGTTAAGGAACTAGCTTATTTTGCCACGTAAAAAATGAAACTTCAGAAGAATAACCTCCTGAAAGAGGTTTCGTGAAACATGCTATTTTTCTTCTTTTGGACTGACATGATGACATCTAGCCTTATAAAAGTAGTATTTGACATGCCTATTTGCCATTAAGTGGGCAAACCAGGTCCCAATGAATACTTCTTTTCAAATTTCATTATCAATGTGAATAATATACCTTCTTAGACAGAAAATTCCTCATAGCTATAAACATCAGGATATGTCCGTTGCACATTTCTTAAGATCTATCATTGTTTAGACGATACTAGTAAGTGAGCAACTTCTTGAGAACTTTGACGATTGACAAAATGATTTTTGAAACTATCATACTACCCCCGTATAGTTTAGTACTCTCAGTACATTTGTGTGATGCTATTTATGGGAGTTGTGAATACCGCTATTTGAACAAAGACTCCTGAGAGCTGTTAATCCATTAGATAAACAGTCCTAATGATTGTAGAAATATTCGCAATATCATAAATCCTACCTATCATTAACGGCACAAATGAATAGGAGGACTCTTGAATAAATTTTAAGGCAAGTGTTGGGTTCTTTGAGCAACCAGAAGCTGGCGCATGGTTGGTGCTTCTCGACTCTCAGAGGCGTAGACACCTTTGTTACAGAGTATCTGAAAGAAAAAATGGATTAATTTTGCTTAACCCCAGGGCCCAGAGACATTCACTTGAGGTTGGTCGCACATACCTCTTTGGAAGTTCGGGATTTAACTATGATTGTCTGAAATACAGTCAGAAAAAATCACATCAGTGGCGCTTGAAGGTGGTGGGGGGACTAGAAGTGCGCTATTGTTGGAGATAATCTTTTTTACCTCCTCCGCTCCTTCCCATCAAGGAGGCAACTTCAGTATTGGCTGCTAGCCATCCGTGAGGGACATCTGACTGCCGTCACAACCCGTCCAGCTAGCTGCTGGACTATATCCTCTGATTCCCATCAAAAAGTTACCATTTAGACTCTAAATGTAATCTCTGTTTGTCTTGTCAATATACAACAGATTTTTATGGTGCGGGAGGATATGAAAGAAAAGGTGTTCCCACCAGCATATTTCGCTTGGTCATTTTAATATACGAGGCCGACCAGCACACCAGGATAGAAGCTATTCATTCAGTAGTAAGGGCAGAATATCTTAAATGATGGACTTCAGGTTGTTGTTCCACAATATATTTTAGAAGGCTTATTTATTTAAAGTACAAATGAAAAGAAGGGAACAAGAAGTTTTCATGAAACCGGACGAAAATGAAAATAAAATGAAAAAGGGAAAAACTCCTACTGAATTACAATTGCTCGCATCCTCCGGATTTCTGAAATATATATTCCTAGTCCATATAAAACAGATAAGGAAATTTAAATTACCATTCACACTTATTTCAACTCTGTTCATCTTCGTCCTGGCCACACATATGCCACGTGCTAAGGTCATTCTGCTTCACATTAAACGGTAAGATGAATAGCTTCCTAAAATGTAACGAAATTCTTTTTTTGAATAATGTAGATATGAGCATTAGCTACAAAGGCTGTAAAAAATCCTAGGCTTCTTTCTGATTTTTCAATAACATTTTTCAAGACTAGCAGTTTTCCAGGATGGACTTAGATAATGGAAGTTTGTCAAGACCTTGCAATTTTCTCTTCACAATCCTGTAGATCCAACAAAACAAGCCTATCTGGATTGAAATGATTGGAAACTTAGTGCCAGTATTAAAATCTGGGGAACAGTTGAAATTTATCATCCGACCATTTTATGAGAATCGAATCACATTCCCTGTTCGTCTGCGAGAGGTACCAGATCGAGAACTGAATTTAAATATGATCACTGGGAAAATCGCATTTATGCGTGAATCACGTACCGTTCAAACCACTGAAGATTCGGCTAACATCCAAACTCAGCGTCCAATTACCGTACTGGAATTTAAACTACCTAGCCCAGATCAAGCAATGATGTTATCTACTAGAGGTAAGTATAAGAATACGAATATCATTCCACAAAGGATCATCATTTTATTATTTTTTTTGGCTTGGGTTCCTGGTGGAACATGTGACTTCAGTAGCACGCCTCCATTGCAATCTGGTTTCTGCTGTCTTTTGAACCTGGTGCCACAACTGCCCACAAGCTTTCATTTCTTCCTCATATCATCTCCATGTCACCCTCGGACGCCTAAATCGTCGTTTTCCCTATGGATTCCACTCGAGGGCGTGGTCTGGCGCGTGATGTCCCCAAATGGCCTTCTCTGTGTATGCCCAATCCAAGCCATCTCTACTTTCTTCTGCATACATGTTGCTTGATAGCTTCTTGTTTGGTTCGTTGCCCGGCAGAAGTTCCTTGTTGCTTATTCTTTCTGATCATCTGGTCTTCAGTATCAGTATCGATTGAGCGTAGGCAGCAGCTGTTGATAAATGTCTGCAGTTTGTTGGAAATGCTTTTCGTGATGCAGCAAGTTTCTGAACAATATGGCAGCAATGACTTGACTGAATTAGTGTTGAAAACCCGGATCTTGTTCTTTATGCTGAGTACAGTAGATCTCCACACTGTTTTCAGATTAGTGAAAGCCTTTCTTGCTTTTTTGATCACGGTTTCGACATCCTAGTCTGTGCTGCCTGTAGTTGAAACTATCCTGCCTAGATAGGTAGGTAAAAGAGACTATTTCCTTTAGGTTTCTCTGGTTATTGGTGATTGGTTCTTGTTCTTATCGTTGTTGTTTGGGTATCCTCATCACCTTTGTCTTCTCTACATTCACTTGAAGTCGCATCTTCCTTCGCTGCCTCTCCCATCAACTTGTTAGTTTCTCCTGTAGGTCTTCGAGTTTGTGTGATATTAGATATAAATCATCGGCGAAATCCAAATCTTCTAAGGTCTTTTCATCGGTCAAATAGCCAGCGTATGCCCATCTTCTCGCTCGTCACGGTTTGCTGCATGATCCAGTCGATGACAATCGGTAAAATCATCGGTAATAGTAGGTGGTAACCTTGTCTTACACCTGTCTTCACTTTGAAGGCATAACACAGCTTCCCATTGTGGATCACTTGGCATGTGACCTTTTCATACAGCTGTTGAATGACGTTGATAAAGGTTTGTGACACTCCGTAGTGTTGAAGCAACTGCCAAATTACTTCTTGATCGACGCTGTCAAAGGCCTTTTCATAGTAGATGAAGTTGAGGTGTAGATTTGACTGCTATTCTATACTCTGTTCCATGATGATGCGCAGGGTTGCAACTTTACTTGCACATGATTTGTTCTTCCTGAATCCAGCCTACCTGTTCCGGTCGTAATTTTGAATCCAGCACATCCTTTAGTTTCTCCAGGATGATGTGGCCTAGTATTTTGCTTGTGGTGGAGGAATTCCACCTGGTGCTGCTGCTTTCTGGGAAATCAGCAACTTTATGGCGTTCAGGACTTCTGCTTTTGTCGGGGAGCGTGTGTTCATTGGTAGTTCTGCCGGTGCTGGTGGTATTTCCTGAGCAGTTACAGGTGGTAGTCGACTCAAGAGTTTTTGAAGTGGTTAGCCCATCGTTTCCTTCCTTTCTCCTCTTTGCTAACTAGCTTTCCTTCACTATCTTTCATTGCTTTCGTCTGCGCTGATCTCTTCCCCCACAGATAGAAAGCTGGTTATTTGACACAATGTTGTCAGCTCTCTGTCTCTGCACTACAGCCTGTTCTGCTTCACTTGCCAGTGTTTCGTGGAAGTGTCTTTTGTCTTTCCGCGCACTCTTCTTCACTTCTTTGTCCAGTGTTTTATACATTGCACTCAGTTCCTCTTTTCATTGTTCGTCCTTGCACTGGTACATCTTCTGCTTCACCATCCTCCTCTCCCTCCTCTATCAGCTTCTATGTGTCCGTCGAGATCCATTCCTTGTCTTCTTTCTTCTCCTTTCCCAATATGATTATGCAGGTTTCTTTCCACATAGCTTTCAAAGACTTTCAGTGTTTATCCACACAGGTTTTTTCAGGGATGTTGCTCAATATCTCCTCTTTTGTCTTGATGGCTGACTGACGTGAAGATGTCCTTTGCAGTTTCGTCCTTCACTTTCTGTTGTGGGTGTTGAACTTGAACTGTGGTCTATCAACAACTTCTTTGAAGGCATTCAATTCGAATTTGAAGGTTCCTTACACTAGATAGATAGTGAGTGGTGTGAACCTACATCTGCTGCCCTCTTTGATCTTGTGTCCAGTAGGCTGTTTCCTCTTTCTTCACATTAAAATGAAGTTGGTCTGGTTTTTAATGTAGTGTGTCCTGGTGCCTCATTAAATCAACTCCATGTGGCTTTGTGGATATCCTTGTGCTTGAACACAGTTCCTCCAATCACCAAATCGTTGAATGCACAGAATTCTGCAAACAATTCTCCATTCTCGTTCATTTCACCTAGCGCTTCTCGACCCTGTATTTCCAGCTCCTAGTTTGGCATTCATGTCACCCCACCCATTAGAATTTTGATGTCGCCGACTGGGGTGCAGTTATAACTAGTACTGATCGCAGTTGTCTGTAGAATTCTTCCTTCTTCTCTTCATCTACATCACTTGTGGGTGCGTAGTGTAGCATTGTATGATTGTGACTTCGCTTCCTCTTGAGTTGAACCTTGCTGTCATGATCCTGCAGGAGGAGATTGGCTCCCACTTCATGAGAGCCTTCAATGCTGTTGAAGACATCATGATATCCACTCCAAAACTCAGTGTGCTCGTGGTTGTCATCTGGGTGACAATATCGGAGTAGATTATTGACTGTCCAGTTGACAGTTTGGAGAGAGTCCACTTCCATTCCATCTGGTTTCGCAGATTCCTGGCACTTCTATGCCATATCTTCTCATTTGTTTTGCAATCTGAGCAGCCTTGCAGGTCAGCTTCAAAGATTGTTCGGACATTCCATGTCTGCATATTTACTCTCGCTTTCATCGAGAGAAGTCACATCGGCTGATTGGTTTTCCCAAGGCTTTCACCAACCGGCGTCATTTTGTCTCCCCGATTCTGGCGAGAAATAAGTTCAATTTTATTTTTATATTTTCCTTGTGCTTCGAAGTCTCTTTAGCGATTGGATTGATTTTACGTGGTAGGCTTGCTAGCCCTATGCCCAACCTTCCCTCTTTATCCGGGCTTAGGACGACTAGTAACTAGTGAACTATTAAACCAGGCGAGGTTTTATCACCAACTAGTGACGACAAATTGCCTACCGAGTTTTGCTAATACGTTTTCAAGTTTTCTTCCGATTTTCTACTTTAAACATAAATATTACCAATCGCTAGTAAATTCACAAGGATAACTTGTTAGGTAAATAAAGTGACTAATTATGTTGTCTGAAGAGCATGTGCATCTATGAAGTTGGGTATCGGGCACATTAAGCTTAGGTAATGTGTTAGCATTTACTTAACTGAGAACACAGTAATACTGTAAACTGACATCATTACGTGGGATACGACTTACTTCCTTCGTAATTATCAGAACAAAATATCTTGAATACCATATTGATCATACTTTCTCCCATCCTGTCCTGTTTTCAGGTTTAAAGTCTAGCAGAGTTGCAAAGTTGATTTTTCAACTGTTGTCACGACGTTTAATTTTTTTATGGAATTATGCCTATGATGCTTTTATGGAAAGTTCAGAGGCGAAATTAGTTCCACGAATGATTGATTCGAGTCTTTTTTCCAAAGGTACTCTTAACCTTGATATGACTACGGATAATAAATTGTGTCCAGAGATTTACCCAGCAATTAATACTGTTTCACTGTGATAACACTTAATGGACAAAAATGGAATGGCAATCTTCCTCCGTGCCAAGGTTTCACTCTTGTATTATAATTATGATCAGTTTATTTGTTTGAATGGTAGTATGAAGTAAATGCCCTTCTTTGGAAGTAAATACAGAATACGTACTGAAATTGCATGCATTTGATATCAGTTTGCAAAAGCTTGTATGCATCTGTCCTTTACTTGTTCCTGTAGCGAACTTGACAACTTTCTTTGAAATCCCCTTATCTAAATATATATGATCATACTGACTGAATACTGTAGAACCAATCAAGTTATTAAATTGATAGAAATGGTATACGTACTTTAATAAGTCCAGTAAACAACCAGATTCTAAAACTCCGATAATCAAATACAGTGGACAGATATATTCACAATGATAAAACTAAAAACAGCCTTTAAATCCGTCTCTAGAAACTCTGAGGAATTCTACTCAGGCGAACAAACCTGCAGTAATACAAAAACTTTAATGTCATATCAGTTGTATGAAATATTCAACTACGGTTTTACCGTCATGGTTTACCTGCTAGATACGGCTAGGTTAGTAACTCAAAGGACTATTCGGTGAAAAATATACTGATTATAATCCAGTTCTTTC